GTTGCGATGAATTCAGAAAAGTATTTGAATGTCAGCATCTAGTCCACGGTATAATTCCTACTTATTAGTAGCAGATAAAGTGGTTCGCATCAAAACTCATTAGATCAGCTTAAATCAAAAAGGAAATTCCTGCCAAACGACAGTCATTATATTTTCCAAGTAACAATGACAAAGGTGAGTATATAAATGCAATTGATTTGTTGGCGAATCAAAAATAATGATGAATAACGGACTCGCCGTTCTTCTTCAAGTTGTATTGTTAGTTAATGCCGTCCATAAGTTTTGTCGATTGAATTTTTCTTTGTGAGTAGCAAACGTGCCATTGATGTAGTGGATTCGAGTTCCATTGAGCTCGCCGAGGTTTTTTTAATTCGGTAAAGGGAATGAGTTTAAGTCGGTAACAATAATGTGTGACAAGGGACTCCTGTTGACTATGTTGAAAGGCAGCCCTGAAAGTTGGCAATTGCCACTTGTTTTCCAAAAGTATGGCAAAAGTGCTATTATAAAAACCCAACAGAATAGGGAAGTAAAATGTTTATATTTCGTATGCTAGGGCCATTGGATCTCACAGGTATCCAACTGTATTTCCAGCGGAAATTAATATAATAATTTATTATCACAAATATGAAAAATATAACGATGAAATTATGGATGTAGTACCAGAGCCTGCAACACCGCTGCTGACAATGGGAATAATTCTGCATAAATCGCATCCTGCAAACGTCCAGACGAACAAATCAGGGTTTATTACTCAGCTGATGTTAGTCGTTATGGGGGAGAACCTCAATTTGTTACACAGTCCTATTGAAAGTCGTTTGCCAAATAAATGTTATCTGAGAGGTGAGTGTTAGGAGCAAGCAGGAATTTTGTTGGACACAGAGAAGACGCGGTCGATATTACTGAAATAATCCGAAGGTATTTCGTGAGATATCCTCTAAGGTATACGTAATAGAGATTAATATGTGGGCTCACCCTTTTCTTTTGAGTGGCTGATTCAATAGATCTGTAACCTAACAGACGGGAGAAAGAGGAGAATACTATAAGAATATAAATCAGGAAACACGGGCTACAGCACGTTTGCTTAGGATTTTATTTTTGTGATAATGGTGTAAAGTAAAAAGCAAAGCAATCTAGACAACTTTTTATCACTTAGATAACCAAAATTGATGCCCTGGAATGTCTACAGCTGAGAGATACGGTAAACGCGCTATCGCATGAAATGTTAACAAAGATTCGGAAATCTGTTTGATTCGAAAACATCACACTAGCGGGGATTTTAATCTGTTTACTTCGGTGAAATGTTGGTCAATTTAGGATGCTGACTATTGTAGCAGCTTCGTCCCGGCCACCTGTAAAAACTACAGTCTGTAAGGATCAACTACTTAAGCAGTAAGGTTCGTATAATTTGTTTTACACGTTCTTATACATTTAAATACGTTTACTTAAGAAGTTTATAAAAATAGCTTAAGTATTATACTTTAATATAAGGAAATTCTGATTTATAAATTTCTAATTAGGAAAATTTTTATGACAGTGAAATATTCAGTTGTAAGTCATCGTACCATTCTGCTTGCCAATGCTGGTTATAGAACATGCAGCATGACTTGCGTCCATTGTAAATCCTCATGAGTCCTGCATGACTTCATGTCAAAAGCACATAGAGCTATATGAATGAACTTGCAAGATGAATATGCAGCTTGTAGTCTAAAGACCCTGAATGCAATTTTATAGACAGATTGGATTTGAAATTATGCAGGAAAGGAAAACTATTGTTTTAAGTCATAAACTTAAAGAAGACGCATTTTTTGCTCAATTGGGTGCTATATAGAATAATGTACGCGTGTATTTTAAAATATATGTTTGAGTTTATTAAGGCGTTGGATATAACTGGGAAAAATGCATGTTGCATAATTTGTCAGTCCTTACAAATTACAGTTTTGTATGCGTCCGCAAAGTAACTTGCTAAATGCCGGCATACTGACGTGACTAAAATAACTAAGGAGGATATTGTTGTGATAATTAATATCACAACGAGGGGAAGGGCCTAGAAAAGGTGGCCTAAACATTGCTGGGTACCACGCCGTCTCCAGGCTAGCCAGGGCCGCAGACGTCTAAACATGGCCGAAACAATCAAAATCGAAACAACAACAATACCAATAACAACAACAACAACCATACTCATTCTCCTCATCCTATCTCTTCTTCCCCTACCTCCGTCTATTCTTCTTCTTCGCCATCTTCTTCTCCATATCCTTCCCGTCGCCCCACTCGTTGTCACCAGACTGGCAGGGTGAGCGCGCTCACTCTGGCAGCCTGGAATGTTCGTTCCCTTTTAGACAATCCGAGGAGCAACCGACCGGAGCGGAGGACGGCGCTAGTGGCACGAGAACTGGCGCGCTACAAGGTGGACATCGCCGAACTCAGCGAGACCAGTTTCTCCGAACAAGGCCAACTGGAGGAGGTGGGTGCCGGCTACACCTTCCTCTGGAGCGGTCGACCCAGGGCAGAGCGACGGGACGCGGGCGTAGCCTTCGCCATTCGGAACGACATCGTGGGACGACTGCCCTGTTTGCCGCAGGGCATCAACGATCGCCTGATGAGCCTCCGCCTGCCTCTCTGGGGAGGCAAATTCGCCACCATCAGCAGCGCCTACGCTCCGACGATGACCAACCCCGACGCCGCCGCAAGAGACAAATTCTACGAGGACCTGCACGCCCTCTTGGCGACTGTGCCGAAGGCGGACAAGTTGATTGTCCTTGGCGACTTCAACGCCCGCGTCGGCACAGACCATACTGCCTGGAGAGGAGTGCTGGGTCCCCACGGTCTCCGCGGCTCAAACGACAATGGTCTGCTGCTTCTCCGCACCTGCGCAGAACACCGCCTCATGCTGACGAACACGTTCTTCTGTCTGCCGGAGCGAGAGAAGGCCACCTGGAGGCATCCTCGGTCGCGCCAGTGGCACCTGCTGGACTATGTCCTCATCCGGAGGCTAGATCAGCGGGACGTGCTGGTGACGAAGGCGATCGCGGGTGCTGACGGGTGGACCGCCATCGCCTCGTCATCTCGAAGATGCGTATTCGCCTACAGCCTCGCAGGAGACCACAAGGTAAGCGACCCCCAGGTAAGCTGAATGTTGCCTTGTTGTCTTTGCCCGCTCACCATCTCCATTTCAGCAATGAGCTAGCTCAACGGCTAGACAACCTTCCTATCGCTGCCGCCGACGACGCCGCCGCTGCCGAGAACGCCTCCGTGGAGAACCGCTGGTGTCAGCTGCGAGACACGGTCCAGTCGACGGCGCTCGCCGTCCTCGGTCGCGCTCCCCGCCAACACCAGGATTGGTTCGACGACAACGACGACAACGACAGCTGCCTTCTACCGCAGTCGCCGCCAACTTCAACAACGACTGCGCGAGATGAAGGACGCCTGGACTGCTCGCAAAGCTGAGGAGATCCAAGGGTACGCGGACCGCAACGAATGGCAGAACTTCTTCTCTGCGATCAAAGCTGTCTACGGTCCACCGACGAAGGGCACTGCTCCTCTCCTCAGCGCCGACGGCAACACTCTCCTGACCGAGAAGACGCAAATCCTGCAGCGATGGGCCGAGCATTTTCGAGGCGTCCTCAGCCGTCCCTCCGTCATCTCCGACGCCGCCATCGAGCGTTTGCCGCAAGTGGAGACCAACGTGGACCTCGACCTCCCGCCATCTCTCCAGGAGACCATCAGGGCCGTGCAGCAGCTCTCCAGCGGGAAAGCACTTGGATCGGACGCGATCCCTGCTGAGGTCTACAAGCACGGAGGTCCCCAACTAATGGATCACCTGACTGCGCTCTTCCAAGAGATGTGGCGTCAAGGTAAAGTCCCGCAAGATTTAAAAGACGCAACCATCGTGCATCTCTACAAGCGCAAAGGGAATCACCAAGTCTGCGACAATCACCGCAGCATCTCCTTGCTGAACATCGCCGGGAAGATCTTCGCACGAATCCTCCTCAACCGCCTCAATAACCATCTGGAACAGGGCCTTCTGCCGGAAAGCCAAGGCGGCTTCCGTCGTCATCGTGGGACCACGGATATGATCTTCGCCGCCCGTCAACTTCAGGAGAAGTGTCAGGAGATGCGGACCCACCTGTACTCTACCTTCGTAGACCTGACGAAAGCCTTCGACACGGTGAATCGTGAAGGACTGTGGAAGATCATGCAGAAATTCGGCTGTCCGGAGCGATTCACTCAGATGGTGCGGTAGCTGCACGACGGCATGATGGCGCGAGTCACGGACAACGGAGCTGTCTCAGAGGCATTCTCAGTGACCAATGGGGTGAAGCAAGGCTGCGTACTGGCGCCTACCCTCTTCAGTCTTATGTTCTCTGCCATGCTGATGGACGCCTACCGCGGCGAACGCCCCGGGATCCGCATCGCCTACAGGACGGACGGTCACCTCCTGAATCAACGGCGGATGCACTTCAAATCGCGCGTATCCGCAACCACCGTGCACGAACTCCTCTTCGCCGACGACTGCGCCCTGAACACCACCTCGGAAGAGGAGATGCAACGGAGCATGGACCTGTTCTCCGCCGCCTGCGAGAACTTCGGTCTGGTCATCAACACACAGAAGACGGTGGTGATGCATCAACCGCCACCCAACTCGGCCACAGCCCCCAACGCGCCGCCGCAAATCAGCGTGAATGGGACCCAACTGCAAGTGGTGGAGAACTTGCCGTACCTGGGCAGTACCCTCTCCCGCAACACCAAGATCGACGACGAAGTCGCCAAATGGATCTCGAAAGCCAGTCAAGCCTTCGGTCGCCTCCAAAGCACAGTTTGGAATCGTCATGGCCTCCAACTGAGCACGAAGCTGAAGATGTACAAGGCCGTCATCCTGCCGATGCTACTGTATGGAGCGGAGACTTGGACGGTGTACGCAACGCAGGCACGTCGTCTGAACCACCTCCACCTCAGTTGTCTTCGTCGCATCCTGAGGCTGAAGTGGCAGGATCGAATCTCCGACACTTATGTGCTGGAACGGACGGGAATCCTCAGCATCTACACCATACTGAGGCAAATTCAGCTGCGCTGGAGCGGCCACCTGGTGCGCATGGACGACGAACGACTACTCAAACGACTCTTCTACGGAGACGTCGCGACGGGTTCTCGCCGTCAAGGAGGCCAGATTCGCCGTTACAAGGATACCCTGAAGTCCTTCCTGAAATGCCTGCAAATCAACCCCACCAACTGGGAGGAGCTCGCACTCGATCGACCGACCTGGAGGAGGACAGTGAAGACAGGCGCTGCGATCTACGAAGCCAACCGCATCGCTGCCGCCAAAGCGAAACACGAAGCCCGCAAATCACAACTTCGCCCAGTAAGCAATGCCGCCGCACAACCGCTTCCAACGTGTCCTCGATGTCAACGGACATTCCGGGCTCGAATCGGACTTGTTGGACATCTTCGGATTGACTGCGCCTCTCAAACTGCACCAACCATCGTCCTCCCGCCTGCCTCTTCCTCCTACTCTCCGCCGCCAACTAACCCTGACAATTCTTCTGACCCACCACTTCCATCATCCTCCTCCTCCCTCTGATCCTCCTCCTCCTCCTAATTCTCCTCCTACTCCTCCTCTTCACCCACTGCTCCAACGGCGGCCGCTCAGGCGACTGTCCCACGCACAGTAACCGACACTACCACCACCTCTCCCGACTCCAGGGATGAGGATCAGGACTACACCTGCCCTCACTGCTACCGTACCTTCACCTCACGCATAGGCCTGATCGGTCACTTGCGAATCATTCGCACAGAGCCTGGCGAACCAGTGCGTGAAGCACCAACCTACACCCACCGCACTCGCCTCCACTGCCCACACTGCCCTCGCACCTTCAGGCATCGCGTGCGCCTTTTCGGCCACATGCGCATCCACGAGAGCGGCCTTGACCGCACTCCCGACACACCCACTACATCCAACACATCCACCGTGCACACCCCCACTCTCGTTCCATCCGTCCGCGACACCACCACCACCACCGCCTCCTCTGTAGCTGACACTGACACCGCAGACTTCTCATGCCCACACTGTTCACGCACATTCACCTCACGTATCGGCCTGGTCGGTCACTTGCGAATCCATCGCACAGAGACTGGCGAACCAGTGCCTGGAGCACCCACCTATACCCACAAAGCTAGTTTCAACTGCCCACACTGTCCTCGCACTTTCAGGCATCGCATGAGCCTATTCGGCCACATGCGCATCCACGACGACCTGCGGGAGACAACTGCCGGCCGCACCACAAATTCACTCACTAACCAACCTCCCCCACCACCACCACCACCCCACCAAAAATCAACACTCACACACCTCATGCACCCAACTGCCATCTCCCACGCAAGTGGGAAGTCTGCATCTCGACTCGGTCCCCATGCGGCTTCGGCTGCACGGGTGACTTGAGTCCGAGACTATCCCGACACGTCAAGCGTCGTGGATAGGAAGGTTGCTGATTGACGCCCGCTCTCGGTTCACGCAGTTCGTCGCGTTGTGTGTGTGTTGTGTGGAGTGGCGAACTGGTGGGCAGGGAACGGGCTGAAACCGCACCTTCCACGGCACTCTCACGCAAGTGAGAGACACGCCGTTCAACCACCGTTGTGTGAAATCCTGGTTTTGTGTGTATGGGGGGCCAGGTCGTGCCGTGGCGCGCGCAGTCATGGTCAGTCGACCATGACAGCCACCGCGCCCATTCCCCACTCCAGTCTGCTGACCGGCTCGGACAGCGGCTGGGGTGTGGGAGTGGGAAGGGAGAGTGAGGTCGACGACTCAGCGCACTTTCTCCTCACTATAAACAATCTGACGAGCTTGAAGCTATCACGGTGCCCTAAAAGCCGTGGCTTGGAAGGTTGCCAACTGACGGGGTACCTTGGACCTCCTCCTTGACCGGAGGCCTTCTGAGAGTCAGGCTGCAATGGCTCCTTTTTAATGTGGCTTTTATGGCACTCCCATCACAGTGTGGGATCCGAGCCAGGCGTTGGCGGCACGCCCAGGTGCGGCTTTGGCCGTGCCAGCCTCCAAATCTCTCTTGTGTTGGTTGAAATCCTGGTTATTTGTTGTGTGGACCAGGGGGTGGGGTGGAACGCCAAAGTGAGGATCCGTCCGAGCCATCCACCTGCGGCCTCTCTCGTCTCCGGTCTTCTTGACTCTGTCTTGACACCGGGCTCGGGCGAGGGAGGAGGAGAGAGTGTAGGTAGATGCTACGCAAGTCTACCGGCACTATAAACCCCTGCGTAAGTCACCGTCCCTGCTCCCATTGCTGCTGCAACTGTGGGGCACACGGTGGACATCATCGAAACCGATGGTCGAACTGTCAATATCACAACGGTACTTAAGTGATCTATTTGCTTCTAAAACACATTTGTATGCAGATGCCATATGGGTTTTGTGCGCTTTTGCAATGGGTGTGTACCACGTTGCACACTTCCGAAACACCATCAGTATACGAACAGCTACCATGCTCCACAGTAGGGGCAATTCGCGTTCTTGCAAAATCCCGCAATTGCGAAACCCCGATAAAACCGAGGTATAATCTTTACTTGAATAAAAGTTTAAGAAAGACGTGTTTTACTTCCCAGTAGGTGTCTGGAATAGCATGTTATTACACGTCTCGCACGAAATATTCTCAAACGTCTAAAAACATCGAAAGTCAATGAGAAAATTTACGCTACATTAGAAGTAGTTTTATACCGTTCGGCTTTTGCGGGCGACCGAAGAATGTTCACTTTGAAGTTAGCATCCAGGCGGACAGCTGCTAAAACAAAATGTTTATTGGATGCGGACGGAGTTGTAGAATTCTATCCAGCCTTAATAAGTAAAGGAGTGCGATGCTTTATGGGCTGGGGTTTAGCGATCCAAAAGTTTCACGAATAGAAGCTTTAAAAATGTAAAAATCCCCCTTCTGCTGATGCCAAATTTGAAGAACACATAATTCGCTACCGGCTGAGCCCGGCAACATTATCTGTAAGATGTGGTTTGGTAGCCCCACCTGATGGACACAATACTGTTGGGGTTGGGATTAGTGGTTAGGGTCAGGATTTAGGGTTAAGGGTCATGATTATAGGTTATGGTTAGGGTTAGGAGTAATGGTTAGGGGTTAGACTTAGGGGTTAGTGTTATACGTTAGGGTTAGGGATTAGAGGTAAGAGTTATGGTTGGGCGGTTGGGGTTATTTCAACTATTTCTCAACCATAGAAAGTACAACCACACACACCCAATAGCTTTTCCTTTAAACATAACATTTTGACCTCGTCGCCTGTTCGTTCCCGGCTCCATCTTTATAAATCCCTATTACCACCGGTCAGGTATTAGAGGTGACTGGGGCTTGCTTACTTCAGGTGGGGTTACAAAACCACATCGAATCAAATTGTCTTATTCATGCGTACTTTAGGGTGTATTTTAATCCATAGCGACTTCGAAAATTAACTGGAGAAATTCACACTAAGCAAGTGCTTTTTTCTACAGTGTTTATTTTTTACAAACGGCCGAAAGAAACCTGTTCTAAAGCCGGCATCTCGAAATGATTGGTGTACCACGTGATTGTCTTACGCGATAGGCAGTCTTAGGACA